GAAAGCTGAGGCTAGAGATAGGCAGGAGGTAGGGAAGTGTTTGGAGGTGACAGGGTTACAGAGCACTGTGTTGTGCATGGGTATCTTTCACGATAGGGCTATGGCCACATCCTGTTTGCAGACAAGGAAATCGGGGCGCCAAGGTCTGCCTGCCCTGGCATACCCTATGAGTAGGTGGTAGGTTTGTGTGGCGAGGCTAGGAAGCAGCAAAGGGCACCAAGGGATCAGTCAGAGAGGTGGTAGGGATGCAGCCCCCTCACTGCCTGGGAAGGGCCAGGGGCCACGTGGGGCAAGGCTCAGGCCAAGCAGCAGTGCCTTTCTATCGCAAACACTCTAAGGTGACTCATTAATGTACCCACACCCTAATGCCAAACCTGCTGTTGGCAAGTCAAACTCCAAAAGACAGGGAGCCTGTAGACCAAGGTGAAACAGCCCCAGGAGCTTCACAGGCCCTCCTCTCAGAGGGAAGCCCATCACATCTTTCTCCTGGTGAGTCCTGTGTACTGACCTTCCAGTAGCAGCTGAGCTCTTACCCATTGCTCACACCCCCACTGGACCAAACCCAAACCCACTGCAACCTATTAGGGTGCTGAGACTGTAAGGAGCCTGAGATCTTGACAGGGGCAGACAGCCTCATCACTCTCAGAGCAGTGTGGTTCTGAACTGCCAACTTGGTGCCTAGCAACCCAGAGCTTACCTGACAGTGCCACCAGGGCTCCCTCTGGGTTCATTTCTGGCTGGTAGCCAGTGTTAAGGCTGGACCAGTTCCATCTCGGGGGACGACAACTAAAGGCGGTCCTTAGGAAATAGTTTGCTGCCACAACACCCCTGCCAGGCTGTCATGGCAACTCCCTTCCTCCTCTGCGGTGGCTGGTGCAGGGGGAACTGGCAGTCAGGCTGCCCAGGGAGTTAGCTGACACAGTTCTCTGTCTGGTGTGAGACCTCAAGGCAGACTATCTGTAGGATTGTGGCTGCAGAGGGTAGAACCAGGAGTAGGTAGCAGCCTTGGGCATGGGTAAGGAAGGTGAGAGGCAGTAAGAGTGGAGGATGGGAGAGGCCAGGGTGGGTTCAGTCTGTGGAGCACACCAGCTGGGAGCCCCTTCTCCAGAACATCCGGAACCCCTTACCTGGAGCCTCAACTCTGGGCCCTGGGAAAGCAGACAGGGCATCTTTGGGGGTTGAGGTGATGCCTCAGAGCAGGGTGGCAGGGCTCAGGCTGGTTGCCCAAATGTTTGTGACAGCTGTGGCTGGCAAGTGGGGAGAGAGCTCGTGGGTATGGGAATGGGAGGGCGAGGATGGCGTCAGGAGAAGGGGCTTAGAGGGGCTTCAGAGCCAGAGTAAAAGTGATCGAGGAGAGGGCACCACAGGCCGGGAGCAGGTGGTGTAGCCCTCGTGGCTTCAAAGGTGGAGGGGGCATGCAGGGTGGGCATGGAGGTGAGGAAGCCACTGCTGCTCGCTCTACTCGCTTGCTTCGGGTAGGCGGGTGAGGAGGGCAGGGAGCAGTCAGTGGAGGACCGAGTGCGTGTCCCAGTCCCAGGCCTTCTCCTCCTGGGACTTTGCAGAGGATAAGGGGGTTGGGGAATGGACCTGGAGTTACCATAAGCTGAGACCCTAGCAATTGTCCAAGGGAGCTAGCGAGGGCAGGTCAATTTGCTGAGGTCCAAGGTCACACCTGGGCTTTAGCTTTAGGCTGATCTGTGGAGACCCCAGGGGTGGCTGTGCCGAGTGACCCAGGCTCTTACCCCTCAGCTGACCTCCAGGAGAACGACAGGTGCCACTGGAATCACACGCAGTGTGCTAGGCACATCCTTCACCCCCTGGTCTCGGACTACGGCCACCACCAGCTGCACCTGCATGCTGTCAGCCACTGCGACTGTGATTCCAGGTGAGGGCCCCTCCTCGGGGACCCTCAGCACAGTGGAGACACCTGGGCCCTAAACATTCACTGCCGTTCCCGCTGACCTTGACCTGGTGCCCCATAAGCAGCAGGGGCAGGGCCCAGGGGAGCCCACTGTCTCTGCAGAATCTGGCTGGGGTTGCTGGGGGAGGTTGCGGGGCCAGGCTGAGCGTCTCGTGTGCCAGGGGGAAAGACTGCTCAGAGAAAGCCAACAGCAGCAGCAGCAGCTCCCAGGATGTGGGACCAGCTTGCTTCAAGATCATCCAGACCCCTTGCTATGAGCTCATCCCAGAGGAGGAGTGCGTGGAACGGTTCTGGTACAGCTGGTGAGTGCTGGCAAAGCCAACAGGGGAGACAGGTGCGCTCTCAGGCACTGCGTCCCCCCAACCTCCTGCCAGCCCTCTGTCCCTGTCACCCTCCCCTCACAGGTGCAAAAGCTACAGGCCTGTCTCGGTAGCAGTGATCCACCACCCTGTCCACCACGAGTACGTGGGAGATGAACTCCATGAAGACGAGGAAGAAGCTGGCCAGCCCCCCATCCCGACCCAGGTGGGGCCCACCAAGCCCCCCAGCCCGAACCAGGTGGGGCCCACCAAGCCCCCAGACACAAGCACCGGCACAGTCACTGGCCTCCCCACCGGTGCCCCCGACTCGGCAGCCCCCATCACCATCTGGCGCTCCGAGAGCCCCACAGGGAAGAACCAGGGCAGCAAGGTGACCAAGAAGGTAAAGAAGAAAAAGGAGAAAGAGAAAGAAAAAGAGGAGTCATCGTCGGACAGGGAGAAGACGAAGCTCAAGAAGAAAGTCACGAAGGGCAAGGTGACGAAGAAGAAGAGCCCCCTGAAGTCGGAGCCGTCTCCTCCAGACTCGGCCCGGTCGGCCAGCCCCCGAGAGCTGACCGTGATGTCGGAGTCCAGCCCAGACAGCCGGGAAGACCTGGAGAGCGAGGAGAGCAACACTGAGCCCAGACAGGAGAGACCCTCCAGCGAGGAGAGTGCGCCCGCCTCTTCACCCAGGAAGAGAGAGAAGCCGAGCCCCACCAAGAAGCCGGCGAGGAAGCTATCCCCAGCCAAGAAGGTCACCAAGAAGAAATCGCCTCCGACATCAAACCCCAATCTCAGCTGAGGCCAGGGTGACCGAGGTGAAGAATAAAGTCACTCGAGCCTGTAGCCCTGTTCTCTCTCCCTGCAACGGGCTATGGCGCTTGGGGAGGGGCTGAGGAGCTGGGGCTGGAGGGGTTCTGAGGGCTAAGCCAGCTGCCAGCGCATTGTCCACAGAGGAAAAGAGTGGGAGACCTTTCTGTCGTTCTTGTCGGGGAGAAGGGAGGGCACAGCCATGGTTTCCCTTCCTGTCCTTGGGCTGGGGCACTCCGGGGGGTGGTGGGATGGGTGGGAGGGGGGTTGAGTGGGGTTAGGCGCTAAGGGCTGCAGTGAGGCCCACAATAAAGCGAATGCTGCATCCACTACCACGGTGCCTGGCCTGCCTTCTCTAAGGGGCTCAGGGCACCACAGGGGACGGCTGGCCCTGCTCTAGCTAGGCCCTTGTGGACTTCTGTGCCCTGCAGGTTCTGGCAGAGGACCAGCCCTCTTCCTGTACTCTTACTCTGCACCCCCACTCCCCAAAGCCAAAGGATCCTGCATGAGGACAAGCAGGGGCAGCAGCGGGCAAAGGAGGCAGAGCCAGACTTCCCCAGCACTGTAGCCAAGCCCCTGTGAGGAACCACAGGGGAGACCAGAAGTTCAGAACAAAAGAGGCAGTGGGGCTGGGACAGGGGGTGGGGATGGACTGGGGCCAGGAAGCTGGCTGTCCTATGCTGCTGGGAAGGACAAGTTTCCCCTGCAAAATCCCAGCGCAGCTCCCTGACTCAGGGCTCATATGCGAGAGAGAGAGAGACAGACAGACAGAGATTGATTGATTCTCTCTCCTTTCTCGCGGGGAGCCCACTCTGGGGCAGGAATACTCGACTGACTTGGCAGAGGTGCCAGAGGTGAAGGCCCAGCTGGCAAAAGGCACAGGGATTGGGTCCATTTTGCTGGAGACAGACCACCTATCCCAGGGGCAGAGGAGATGGTGGGAAAGGGAGGCCCTGGGTCCCAGCGGAGGAAGGGCGAGGGGAGCAGACAGCCCCGGAGCAGATGGGAGTCCTGTGCTGCTGCTCTTCATGCCTGGGCTGGAGGTCTGGGAGTGGGCGTCCTGGCTCCGCTCCACACTGCTCTGAAGGGTGCCCTCACAGGGACTGCAATTGGAGAGAGAGGCCGCAGCAAGGGCTCTGTAGAAACACTGTTTATTCCAATGACAGGCAGGAGGCAGAAGTGGCAGCAGGTGGGTAAGGGCGTCAGGCAGGGGCTGGGCAGTGCAGCTCTGCTCTGTCCCCTGCTTTCCTGTGCCAACAGCCACTCTAGCTGTTGGCATCGGGGTCAGACTCCTTCCCTCCTGCCCCCACTGAATAAATAGTATCCCTTTCCCCACAGGAGCCAGGGGAGACTGCTGCCGAGTTGGTGTCCCCGTCACAGCTCAGTCAGATGGCAGCAGAAGCTGAAATGGCTTGTAGGGAGAATACAACACAGTTCCATCATTCTCAGTCTCCTCCTCTTCCTCCTCCCTGCCACACTGCCCCCTTGAGCCTGGGCCCAGGCAAGACGGTCGGCAAGGACCCGGGATGTGGACCAGGGAGGAACCGTGTCTAGGGCACACTGAGATCAAGTTTGCAAGGCCATCCAATGTCACCCATCCAGGCTGACCAACAAAGAGAACGTCACTTCACGCCACTTTATGGACAGAAAAGGAGGGGACAGGGAGTGAGGCTGTGGGCAGCCAGGCAGGTCTTTCCCAGGCTCAGAGGTCAGCCGAGTCCTAGGAGCAGGCCCCCTACCGATCCATCTCATCCAGGAGCGGGGTGGCATCGCCAGCAATGGACATGGGGGTGCTTTCGATCATGGGGCTGGGGGAAGGCCGAGGCGTTAGCCGCTGCTTCTGTTTCCGCCGCTCTGCCTCCTTTTCCTGAAGCCACTGCTCTGCCATCTTGCCCCAGTCGATGGCTGCGTGGCTGTTGGACCTGTAGCAGGAAGGAGAGAGGGGGAACCTGTGAGATAGAAGGGAGCCTCCCACTGCTTCACTGGAAAGCTCCCACCCCACCACCTACGGGCAGCAGCCCCTTTGCTGGGGGAGAGAACAGTGGCTCGCTGCCAAACTATACTCTCCTGTCCCCCCTGCCCCAGAAAGCCGTCCCCTGAGGTTATCACCTAGGTCCCTGGCTCTCAGAGGCCCTGCCTATTCTGTCCCTGCCCCCTTGAGGGCCCTCCTCTATTAATAGTGCGCAGAGACTTACTTTGGCTGTTGTTGCCGTTGCCGGGAGCTGGAGGAAGGCTGGGGCTGGGCCTGGGCCTGGGCCGACTGGGGGGTGGTGCTGGCCTGCAGCTGGTGGTACTGCGGCGTGGTGATGGGTTGGCTCGGGGTCGTGTAGGAGTAGCTGGGGGTCATTAATGGCGTGGCCACTGGCTGCTGGGCAGGCGTTGGGAATACCTGGAAAGAGGTGCAGAGTGAGGGTGGGCTTTGGGGTGATTGGTCCTTGCTGGTGGCTCTAGCAAGGGGAGCTGTTGGGATTAATACAGGACTTTCAGCTGACTCTCTCCTGCAGAGCGTGGGGTTGTGAACAGCAGAGGCAGGCCAACAGCTCTGGCCATCCAGAGGAAGCTGGTGGGATGGGGTGGCAGAAAAGGCCCACAAATCCTGACCACCTGCAGTTTCTAGGGGCTATCTCAAAGGCCTCTGGGAAAGTTCACTCCCCCTGGCCCTCCAGTGGGTCTGAGGAAAAGGAGCACCACTGGAGGTGGGTATTATCAGGCGTCGGTCTATGGACGAGCCGACAGAGGATGATCATGCTCACTGGACTCCTCCCTGCCTTACCGGGACCACCCTCCCCCACCCCGCCTCAATCCACATACATGATAGGCGCTGCTGCCCCCTCCACTGCCCCCGTAGCCATACTGGCTGGAGGCCCATTGGGCGGGGGTGGTGTTTGGGTTCTGTCCTTGGCCTGTCACAGCAGCAATGGCACTGAACATCTGGGAGGTCATGTTCTGGGGCAGGGCGTTCACGGCTCGGGTGAGATCTGTAAGCACACAGAGCGGCGAGGTCAGGGCTGATGGTGCAAGTCCCTCCAGCTCCCCAGTGCTCAGCCCTGCTTGGTATGTGCAGCTCACCGGCGAGGTTGATGTTGGCAGGGGTGGCATTGATCGAGGCAGGGGTCCGAGTCCTGCTGCTGCTGCTCGGGGTGATGCCTGCAAGAAAAGGCTAGTGAGTGATGGCCTGTCTGCAAGGGCTTTCTGGTTTCGATTCAAGGGTCTGGGGGTGGCAGAGGGGCAGTGCAGAGGCCAAGTGGAAGGGAAACCTTTTAGTGCTATGAGGTGAGAGAGAGAGAGAGAGACAGCTTCAGTGACCGCAGGTCTTAGCCTCGCCTCCCAAAGGCCAGTTTGAGTACCGAGCCAGGCCTCGGAGTCCATTCAACCACCACCCGGAAGTCGGGCCAATGGGACTCACCTGGGACAGGATCCTGGTAATGGTCCTTAAACCACCTGAAGAGGCCGTTCACGGTGGAGAAGACTTGGCCCCGGTACCGGAGCCCTTCTGGAGTCACAGTGACGTACTCGACCCTAGGGTGGGAGGAGACACGGTCCCATCAGACCGCATCCCCATGCGGAGCAACCAGGCTGGGTGCTGGGCGAAAGCAAAAGGAAGACGCCAAGGCCTGACATCATCACAGGGGAGCCCCCCTACCCCCCGGTCATACGCTGGAATCGTCTGTAGCACCAGGTAGGGGTGGAGCCCGCCCTTATGCAAAGCTGAAGCGGGAACAGCAAGGTGTGGCTAAGAAGGGACCCTGGATCCAGCCTGGTTTCCCTTTCAGCCCTTGCAAGCGCCAGCGAAGGGACCAAGTTGGCACCAGGTCACTAACGAGCACCCAAATACTCTGAGTGGTGATTAAGGAGGACTACAGTCTATCTCAAGGAGATCTGGTGGTGGCACAGTGGTTATGCAGCAGGCTGCTAACCACTAAGTCAGCGGTTCAAAATCGCCAGCCACTCCCAGGGAGAAAGATGAGGCTTTCTACTCCTGCAAAGCGTTAGTTACAGCCTTAGAAAGGGGCAAGAGAGTTCTTTCCTGTCCTGTAGGGTCGCCATTGTCAGTCAGAATTGACTGGAGTGATTTTTTTTTTTTGCTTATTGATTTAGTACAGTAAAACAGAAATGTGCATTCACGCTGCAGTCGAGTCGGGAGAATGGGGGCAGCTGAAGGACAGAAGGCTTGGTGACCGGCCTGTGTCACTGACACCCAGAAAGCTGGTCCAAGGAAACAGAACTTTGTCCCCCGACTTGTTTGTAAGAGCATGGTGAGTGAGCACTGGCAGACCCAGATACCACACCACCTTAGGAAGAAGGCCAGCCTGTTGGAAGATGTGACTGACCGCCAAAGCCATGGGGGTGGCCGTCCCCGTCTTTGCCAGCAGAGAGAGAGCCTGGTGACGAGCACCCCTCCCTGGAGGGCGAGCAGGGCAAGGCTGGTGAGTTCTGCTGTGACTCTGTGTCTGTCCTACCTCCGGGTGGGGAGAGGAGCCAGGCAGGCAACAGAACTAGAGCAACAACTCCGGGGCTCAGCCTTCTGGAGCTTCTGCGGGCCCCAGTGCTCACCTGGGTTTCCCCCGGGGCTGGTATCCCAGGAGGAACTTGCCGGGTAGTTCCTTGCAGGCACAGATGAAATAAGGGATGAAGGTAGGCTTCTCCTTCTTAGTTTTGACAAGCAGCTCCTCTAATTTCTGGGGGTAGAATGGGGAGAGGTTGGGAGAGTAGCATGCTTGGCACTCAATATATGCCTCACAAACAGGGCCCACTGCCGTCACTGGGCTGAGAGAGTGTCGGTCCGTCTGTCACTGGGCGGGACTCTCTCTCAGAGAGCTCTGGGCTCACCTTGCGGTCCCCACCACTGCAGTCCTGATAATATTTGTGGTTCAGAAGATCGCGGGCAAAGGAAGCCATGGGCTGGACGTAGCGGGCAACAATCTCATCCAGGTCTTCAAATTCCTGTGGGGAGAATGGAGAGGGCTCCTGTATTACAGTCAGAGCCAAAACTCCTGGGCCCTCAACAAACCCACCCGGAAGATTCCAGTGGAAAGGACCACCCTGGGCCACTGCTGTCCCTACGTCCCTTCCAATTACCCATCTGTCAGGGTCATGCCCAGAAATCTTGGCTCACAGCCGCACCAGGTCTTTTAAATAGTAACTTGGTGCTTGAAATGTCAACTGCAAACAGGCAAGAGGCCCTTATGTGTGTGTCCCGCCTCTGCTCCAAGTGGCCTTCCATCTCAAAATGGACACCAGATAACTGTTGCCCTGCTCTGTACCCCGAAAACCACAGATGATGCCAACAAGATACTAATGTCAGGCGACTGGGAGGCGGGTGCGGCGCTCACCTCACTGTTGATCCACAGTGTGGCTCCCAAACTGAAGGCATTTTCCTTGCCTTCCTCCCGGACGTCCACGTGTTGGTAGATGCCATCACTGACCTTCCAGGTCACGGTCAAGTGATTCTCACCCTTGCTGCTCGGCCGGATGATCACATCGCCCTGGTCCATGGTCTCCATCATCTTTTCTGCTTGCTTGAAGTTGATGTTATGGAATGACGGGTGTGCAATGACTCGCTTGATGTATGCTACAGAGGGCAGCAAAAAGTACTGAGCTGGGGAGGGGGTCCGGAGCCGCATTTCCGAGTCCCTATGGGCCTGGGCGCTCGGACAGGGTAGGCGTGTTAACCTGGACGCCGAGCACGAAGCGCCACAGTGCGCTGACAGAAAACGAGCGTGACCCAGAGAGGTCGAGAAGAGGGACACAGCAAGCGGAGGCGGGAGGCACACTCACTGGTCCGCTGCTGCTTCCGCTTCCTGTCCTCATCCTGCTTGTGGTCTGCGGCTTCGGCATCAAAGTCGTAGTAGGTGTCCTTGGGCAGCTTCCACTCGTTGTTCCTGTCCATGAGGTCTGAGGTGCGGCAGGTCAGGTCTGCACTGAACTTCTCGATGTCAATCTTCATGATGCGACAGTGGACGGTCATTCCCACCTAGGTCCACAGAACATGTGAGCTGAAAGGGACGAAGATGACCTAGCCCAATGCCCTATTCACGCATGACAAGAGCAGTGTCTAGGTGGAAGAGTGAGGTGGCTTGCTTACAGCCGCCTCGCTCTCCAGTCGCAGAGCAGGTTGAGTCTGGCCTGTGGAGTTCTGCCTGGGCCCTCTGCTGACCAGAGGGAGATCAACTAGAGCCTGCCAGGATCCCCACAAGCAACAACGCCACCATTTCCTTCTTCTACCAAGTTGTTTAGTTACGGGCCCTGGGGTGCGGTGAGAGCCAGGCTGTCCTTTTGTCTTGAGGGGAGGCAAAATAAACAGTTGCTCTTCCCATTTGACCCCAATGGGCTACATTGTGGCAGAAAAACTGCCTGGCCGCCCTCCTTCCGGAAGAGCCCCGCTTCAGTTGATGGCAAACCCAGCCAGCTCTCAGGCCCTCACAGCACCTGGAGCCAGTGTGCGCACCCGCAGAAACTCGGCGAGATGCTAAGTGGGAGCTCTGGGACCAAACACTCAACCTTTCTCTGACTTGGGGTTTCTCAGGTCACCAAAAAGAGGGAGAGCCTTCCTTTCCCTGCCAGCATGTGAGCAGACATAAGGTATTAACAAGGTGATGTCACTCACGAGCCAGCCATCAGAGTGAGATAAGCGGTCCCTGTGGCAGGAAAACAGGAACAGGAAGAGTTTTGACAGAGTCTGGCGCGCGCGCTCTCTCTCTCTCGTGAAGCCCGTTCGGTGTCCCTGTGCAACTTCTCTGGTTGGGTCTGTAGAGCCCACCCCGCAGGTAGCCGTGCGACCCTGCCCATCTTCCGGAGGAGCACCTCCTGGCCACGGGCTAACACGAGGAGCATTTACTTCTCAACTTTTGAGCCTGAGCCCCTGCTTCCTGCCAGCAGGGCGTCCCTGCATTCCCCACGGGAAGAGAGAGCCCTCTGCCCAGGGACTGGCAACCGGCTGAAGTTCCACAAGGGCAGGGACAGAGCTGCTGCTCACGCACGTGCTTCTGGCCCTGGCTTCTTCCACCTCGTCTGAATCCTCCCGGACTTGCTCCCCACCAGGCAGCCACTGGGAACAGAGCCCAATGTCTGGGGCGGCGACAGGGAGACCCCAAAGAAGGAGAGCTGGTCTGAGGCTACCATGGCACTGAGTGCCTTAGACACCCCCCATCCACCTACCTTCACCCGTTCTTCTGGACGCTTCACCACTTTGTCACTGAGGAATTTGGTGGGGATGAAGCCGGCGACCCCATTGTCTAACCGTGTCTTGACACCGATGGCCTGGCCTGGGCAGGAACCGCTGTCGAAGTGGTTCCACACCTGGAGAGAGCATGCGGGGGTGCATGAAGACTGTGGAGATCACACGCTAAGGACAGCTGCCAGGGCTGTGGCACTCACACCTGAATCCATGGGCCACAGACACAACCTAGCCATCCACCAAAACAGATAGTGGATGGTCAAGACTTTCCGTGACTCCTACCTGGTGTCTGGTGGCATCAGACACCAGAAAACCTTTTATGTGTACTTCACTGACAGGGCCCTCCAGCCATTAAGCGTGGCCATGCCCACTGTGTTCTGGCCCAGAGGTTGTAAGGAATAGCCAGCTGCCAAGCTCCTCAGAACACCGCATTTCTGGGAACCTAGCACGCAGCAGCTTTCTTAGAACATGGACAAATGACAACAGCGGCTTCCATTAGGTGGGGGTTCAGATACCGTCTTACAATCTCATGCATGGGAAGTCTGCCTGGAAATACCTGCCAACCCAGAAAAAGCTACCGGTGTGGTTTCAGTGACTTTGCCCTCTGGAAGGGAAGGGATGCCAGCAGCTGTGGGGAATGAGCCCCTGTATGGGAGCTGGCAGCGAGTGTGAATCTGCAGGCACGGGGGACTGCGTCTTCTCTGCAGGTAGGGAAGCAGCAAGTGCCTGAAATTTCCTAGTCCGGTTGGGCTGGAACTCGGGATGAGGGGACTGAGGCAGGAGGGAGGGCACACGGAGGAGTCTCACCCAGCAGAGAGGGCCTGCAGCTGCCCTCCTGCCCCGTGGACTTGTTTGCTCACACTGAAGGGCGCACCTCACTCAGCTCAGGGAAGCTGTCCTGCTGACAGAAGGGGCACTGCCACAGTCCTGTCTCATCGTTGCGGATCGCCTGGTCGTAGCTCTCCCCCTGGGGCCGCCTGTGGGCGATGCCGGTGACGATGCAGATGATGAGCTTGCCTGGAGGAAGGGCACAGGGCGGGCTTAGTGAAGCACACAGGTGACTCCACCCCGCCACATGTAGGCACAGCCAAGACCTGGTGATGGGAGAGTGAGGCCGAGAAAGGGACTCTAAGGAAGACCCCAGAGAGGGTCAGGTGTCTGATTACACACTGCACTTCACTTTGACATCACCCCAAGTTCCCCTGGGTCTCCCCCCTACCCCCAGCCCCACCCTGCTGGAACGGCTGCTTGGTTTGAGGGCATGCAGTCAATCTACCGTCGACCCCACTTGTCCTTTGTAACTACCAAAGGGACCCAGAACTCACCGATGTAGAAGGTCTCCGGGGTCTCTTTGGTCAGCATGTTGAAGATCTCCTCTGTGTTGGGGGAGCGGTAGGCTGTCCTCAGGTCCTTGTACCGACAGCTCAGCTCTGCCCGGATGTCGTACAGGGTGATGTGTTTGTCCCCATAGCCCTAGGGAATTGGGGGGAGTGGAGTGGGGGTGTGTCTATCAAGAGTCTGACAACTGCTATCCCACATGAGCCACAGGGGCTTCAATGAAAACAGCAGGCCAATCCTTTTGGGTCTTCTCTCACCTCCCTTCCCATCTGCATTCACTAACGGGTTTTAAAACCCTTCCCAATCTGTTCTGTAACTACAGTGCTTCGGGGAACCCGGTGTATACGAGAGAAAAACGCAAAGCTGGTCTGTGGGAAAGAAGGCCTAGGAGGACATGACTTCCAGTCCTCTCTGCCCCACGACCTCTGTAGCTGCCTGAGAAACCCAGCAGCCCTGCAGCCAGCCAGGTCGACAGGGCCAGAGTGCTTCTGTGGCATGGATGCTAAGCAACGGAGCCTCCCAGGGCGGCGTCTGCAGCAGGCTGCCCCAGGGTCACCCACCTGCCTCTCCAGTTCTTCTGCAAAGGCGTCCAGGTCCAGGTCCTTGAGTCGCTCTGGGTTTTCTAGGATCTCCTCCAGGGCCCCTGCAGGGTTGGCATCTTCGGCTGACTCATCGTACTCCAGGGCATCCACTGCCATCTTCCTGGCCCACTCATAGGTCTCAGGGTGGACACGAGAGCCATCAAGGACTTCAATGTATGAGTCAGTGCTAAGGACAGGCAGAAAAGGGATCAGATATAGAGGGTGCTTCCAGCAACAACCCAAATGTCCACCAATAAGAAACTGGTACATCAATTAAGGTACCTCGAGACAATGGAATCCTATACAGCCATTAAGAGAATGAGGTAGATCTATGTGGGCTGACATGGAAAGATGGCCACGGTAGCTCGCTATGTGAAAAATGTACAAAATGCTATGAACCACACGGCCTCATTCTGGTGGGAAATGGGTGGTCAGTAAGTGCAGAGTGAAAAGAAAACGCAGGAAGACCACAGCAGGCATCATGCTGTTGTGACCGTGATCTCTGGGGGGTTGGGACCATGGGGGACCTCCACTTTCTGCACATATGTCCACATTCTGAATCTTCTAGGGTCAACACACAGGAGATGGACGGTAAGGTAAAGCAGGCAGGGGGCGGGGAATGGCCTTTGAGAATTGGCCGACAGCTCTTTCCGCCACCAATCCTTCCCAGGCCGGTCCTGCCCGTGCACTCACATGGACCTATGTTCCAGCAAAGCTGGGTGGGAATGAAGTTTTAGAACTTGAAACCTAGTTCCCCACTGATTTCCATTACTGAGTGAGGCGCTGTGTGCCTGTGGAAAGCATCCTCCAAAGACTGAGCTGACAACTTCTGGAGAGGAAGCGGTCAATAGTGGAGTCCAAAGTTCAAGCGAACAGAACCCTTTCTCAGTACCACGAACTCAGGACATGCTGCATCTCTCCCCCGTGCCTCCTTCTCTCCTTAGCCACCACTGCACACCTCTTCCTTTACCCTGCTGCCCACACTCGTATCTGGCCACAACCAACCACCACCATGAAACAAGCTCGGTGTTTAAAGAAATCTTGTGTCTTCTGATAATTCATAAACAACGGTTGGCTCCTTTTAGGTTTCTCTCATACAAAAAAGTTTCCTGTAACTGATCCAATCTTTCCCATCAGTCAGTGGCTCTTGATGGCACAAAGGCCATTCACTTTGCTTTAAACGTTTCCTGTGTGACATGCCTGGCGGCCCTCTGACAGCTCTCACACTCTGAAACCCCAAAGCAAAGCCCACGGGGAGTCCTCCTGGCCCACCCACGCTGAGGGCATCACCTGTCCCCCAGGGAGGCCGTGTCGATCTTGAGGAAGCCAGCACAGTTCATGAAGACTTTGGGACCCATGTGGCACATGGTGACCAGCTGTGTCCGGCTCTCGAGCCGGGTGTTGTTCTGTTTCAGGATCTAGGGGAGAGGCCTGGAGTGAGCCAGGGCATGAGCAGGCCCGCCTGCTTTCAGGTCTCTGTGAAATCGACCGTGATGGCAACGCTGGTCTGCACTCCCCTCCCCCCCCACTGACTGTCCAGCCGAGCACCAAGTTATTTTCGTGAACTACAGCATACCACCAAAGACTTTATAGAGTCAACGTCTGGTTTGGAAAGTTAATAATAAAATAGACAGGCACTCAGCACCCGTCTTAAGAAAAAGAAACAAAGAACAATACTTCTGAAGCTCCTGGTATGCCCTTCTCTCTGATCAGAGTGGTAACATTTAAAATATTCTGAGTCGACCACATCCTACCTTCAGGAGGTGGGTCCCTTTGCGAGGTCCCAGGCCGCAGACGTACTGGATCAGGGCCTGGCTGTAGGGGTGGGCAATGGCACGGTTGACATCAACCCCAACCTCATTGACGCGGTTGATAAATTCACAGTACAAGGCATTCAGCAGCTCCTCCTTGACCACATGCTCCTGTCAACAGGCACAGGCAAGGTTTAGGGTACTGGGCCTTTCCATCCCCTCAGGCCTGCTCAGAACACCCTACTCACCTGCAAAGGGTGAAACTTTAGACACAGGATGTCTTCATCTGAACTGCACACTTGGGCAAATTCAATCAGAGGGTCCTGGATGCGCCGGGCCAGGGAGACGGCCTGTCTCAGCACCGGAGGGTAATCCCGGAACTCTGCCTACAGTCAAACCAGGGTCAGCAGGGCCACAGACACTCCCCGTTCCCACAGCAAGGGGAGATTCAAACTATTTCCCTTTTAAGTCACTTTTTCGACTCTGGGACCCTTTTTCCTAGGCCCACTTTAAGTTCAGGGATACCCCAATAGAACCAAGACTGGCAAAATGGCAGACCTCTGCGTGGGGAAGTGAACAAACATAACCCCGTGCCCGACAGACTTGCTGGGGAGGATTGCAGCTGCTGGGCCGGCCCAAGGGATAGGTTCCAGCATTACCTCCGACTTCTTGCTGTTCATATAGAGAACTGCCAACTCATTATCAACCAGCTCCACCCCAATAGAGGACAGCTGTTGGCCCTGGTCCAGTTCATGTACAATGCGCTTCACATCCTCAATCAACATCTGGGCATCCCTGGAGGGATGAAGGGTACTATTTAGGGGCGTTTCTGGAGACACAATCTCATGAATAGGGTGGGGGTGGGGCTGGAGAGAGCTTTGGCATCAGGAGGAGGACTGATTTGGGGGCTTCATCGTGGTTCTATACAAACACATGCCCGCCATTATGGGTGGGTGCCACCCTCAACAACAGCTTCTTCAATCAGGCTGGTCCAATCCCCTGGTAGTCCTACCTGTTTTCTCCTGCAACTGTCACCACATGGGGCTTCTTGTTTGTAAGAAATTTCTTCAGGGTTTCAATGTCATGAGCCTGCATTAAAAGGAAATGCGGAGCTGAAGACACTGAGGCTAGAAAAATTTCAAGCCACCCCCCAGCTCCAAAATCACCGGAAACCATGGAAGGCCAGAGAACAGTAAAAGCTGGAAGGCTCTTTAAAGTATATCTGGTTCCAGCTGCCACCAACATCCATCTGTACGCCTTCTGCCTCTGCTTAATATTTCCCCCAACTAGGACCTGGCTTCAGTGATACGAGCAGCCACTGGTCAGATCCGAGGAAGGGCAGCATAGAAAACAGTCTCTTTTACTGTAAGCAAAACCTGTCTCTAGTTTTGATGACATGAATCAAAGAACCGATTCCTTTGGGTGAGGGCCCTGTCTCTGCCAGTCTCTTGTTCACTGAAAGATGCTTACTTCCTGCTAGATGCTTATAGCTTAAGGCCCCGCCCTTTGTCCACGGACGTCCTCCGATAGTTTATTGATGCCCACATTATGTCAGAGCATGAGTCACACTGACTAAATGAAGGAGGGTGGGGTTACAAAAGAGCAGAGCAAGGCACATAATGTTAAGATCAATTACTACCCTTATCTGGGCCCCGGGGAACTTCTCAATGCTGACACTCCAGTCAAGTTCTTTGACTTCCACCCACAATGCTGTTCTCTTTCCTCCTTCCTGGAATGCCACAAAGCTTTCTTCCCTCTTGGAGGTCCTCTTGACTTTCAAATATTGGTTAATCTCTCAAGTAGATCAATCCCACACACCCCTCTCACCTCACACGACCTCACTGGGTTGTGTAGGTATGGCCCCTCGCCCAACCTCATGCCCAATGGGGTGGGCATCTCAACCACGTCTTTGGCCTCCTTGAAAACATCCTGTCTAACAAAGGAGTTGGGACCTATGGTCTGAGGAATAGACACTGGATATTTTTTAAGAGACTGGGTTGTGGGCAACTTACACTAGACACCTTTTTTTACAGGAATAGCCGCCTGGCAGGCAGAACTATTTTAACTTCTCTTTGAGGGGTGGAGGCCATCTTTTTTAAGTTGTTTGTTGGTCAGCTTCCTCAAATTCTGAGGTGACCTGCTTTGTGAAACGTACTTTGCTTACTAATAAGTCTTTGCCACGCTTACAATAACTCAAAAACAACGAAAAGTTGTTGGAGGAGTACTTCTCTTTAGAATGCTCCCAACGTAACGACAAAAGGACAGAAAAACCAATATAAAAGCAGGCAAAAGACGTGAACAGACATCTCACCAAGGAGGACACACCAGTTGCCAACAAGCACATGAAATCAGACTTACTGACATCAGTCACTACGCTCCAAGCTTGCTGCCATCAAGTCAGTGCTGACTCGGAGACTGTAACTGTTGACATGAGTAAAAAGCCCAGTCTTTCTCCCTCAGAGCTGCTGGAGGTGGTGGTTTCCAACTTGTGACGGTCACAGTCCAACATGTAACCACTACACTGCCAGGGCTCCTGACATTAGTCATTAGAGAGATGCAAATCAAAAGCACACTGAGATAGCAACTCCACTCACTAGGATGCCTTGGATTAAAAAACACAACACATAAACACAAACCCCAGAAGACACCAGGTGAGGGTATGGGGAGACCAGAACGTCCTCCATTGCTGCTGGGGATGGAGATGAGAGAGAGCCGCTGTGGGAAATGCCTGGCAATTCCTCAACGTGGAAGACAGAGAATGATACGACCCGGCAATGCCACTCCCAGATCTATACCCCCAAAGAATTTAGAGTACGTACACAGATACTTGTGCTCACAGAACACTATTCACAAAAAGCCAAAAGAGGAGACGGCCTAAACGTCCATCTACAACTGAACGGATGAACAACATGTGCTCCACAAACCACAGAGTCCAGACACCGTCCTCTGTGCCACAGCAGGATGAGCCTTGACACCATCCGGCCGAGTGACACTGTCAGCTATAAAGGACAAGTGCAGTGTAGGGTTCCACAAGTGTCTAGAGACCGAAGGCGATTAGCGATCACCAACAGTGGGAGGCCGCGGGGAGAGGAGGACCGAATGCTTAGCGGACACTGATGGCCTAATTTAGGAACAGATAAGGGAAATGACTGAACACCACCAGGACATAATTATTGTAACTGAACTACATGTGAAAATTGTTGAAAAGTCAATGCTTTGTTACACATGTATTTAATGTAATGACACAAACGAAAAGAACACTTCATGTTAGAAAAGAGCTGTCCCAATAAAGTTGAAAAGATGCTAGAACAACAAGTGAGTGTACAAACCAGATGAATTTAAATTCCTCTCTTTGGAAGAAGAGACACTGAGAGAGGCGAACGCCGGGAAAAGGCTGGCTTAATGCCCTGGAGGCTTTCAGCTCTTGGAACAGGCTGACCCAAATGCTGGTAGGAACAGAGTCAATAATGGCAGCTCCCAGAAGCACCCAAGGCTCGGGGCCTGGCATCAGGCCAGAAGTCATTTTATACCAGATAACTTGAGTGCCACCTACTGCCCGTGGAAGCTAGCCTTACCCTCTGAGAGCAAGGGCTGTTTCTGAGACGGTGAACTTGTATGGAATGTAAGTGACAAGGCAGAGCAGGAGGCACATGTGGTCACCAGTCACTAACCTTCTTCTCCCGCTCTTCCTCTCTCCAGGCAGTTCGCCGCTTGGTGAAATGGGGCAGCCGGAGGAAGTCTGTCACTTCTCCCTCACCGTTGACCAGGGCGCAGAACACGGGGTGATCCCTGCTCAACAGAAGGAAAGAGGACAGTGCCACAGCAG